GGTGCTTATGAGTTCGAAACCCATGTGTTATCGGCCAAGATCTACGTGCAAGTGTCTAGCACACTCGTTTGAACTCGAAAAAGCCCTATCGCGAACTAGTTGGATCATTACTGTACGTGGCAAACGCGACTCGGCCGGATATCTGTGTCGCCGTTAGTATTCTATCGCAACATCTTGAGGATCCTTGTGAAATGCATTGGAAAGCTGCAGTACGAGTACTGCGCTACCTCAAAGGTACCATCCATACTGGAATCAAGTACAAGCGTGAATCGAAGCTAAAGTTGCAGGCATTTAGTGATGCCAATTGGGGAAGTGACCTATCTACTCGCCGTTCAACGTCGGGAGTGTTGATTCAAATGTGTGGTGGACCAGTCGTATTTAAGTCCAAGAAACAGGCGACAGTTGCGTTATCGTCAGCCGAAGCCGAATACATGGCACTTGCTGTTGCTGTTCAGGAGGTGTTGTGGGCGAGACAACTGCTAGAGGAGATGGCGCTGAAGGTCAACAGCGTCACGAAGGTGTTGGTGGACAACAAGGCGGCTATAAGTATGGCGACGAACACTGGATACACTCCGCGCGCAAAGCACATCGATCTTCGCGTGCATTTTATCCGAGACCACGTTCAGAAGAATACCATCACTATCGAGCACGTGGTATCCAAGTTCCAGCTAGCTGACTACCTAACGAAGCCGTTGCCTACTCCTCAGTTCATGGCGTTGGTGAAGACAAGCGGGGTTGTAAGCAATCATTAGCACAAGGAACAGCTAGTTGAGGGGGAGTGTTGAGATCGTCTGTTATGCACACTGTCACATATTGTGTGCCATACACAAAGCCAACTTGCAGGTTGAAGTAAATGTTGGTCATCGAAGCTTCGCGAAGGAACGATCAAGTTTAGCAGGATTCTAGATTGTGGAGCTAGGAGAGAGCTAGAGAAGTCTGCACATGTAAAGCTTTTGATTCAATTTACTTTCCATTCTACACTGCATCGCACAAGAGAGTTTAAGAGCGTTTTATTTAGCGTTATACACTTGTAATTGTGTACTAGAATACAAACACTTATGCATGCCGAATATCGTTGCTGGCACTGTATCACTGTACCGGAATTTACGTGTTTTCTGCAACCGTGTAAAAAGTACCTTTCAAGTCAAAACCGTAAGAACGGCGGAAGGCGTAAAATCTCGCACAAGATACTCCTGCCCACTTGAAACCGTCGCTTTGCTCACAGTAATGTAAGCAATAGCGCGCTTTAACTGGGACACTGTTTTGATGCTACTTTTGTTGGTGCTGCAGACTTTTTACGGGCCACTGGTTGCAAAAAATTGATCGGTTGCAAAAATACCGTTAATTCCGGTATTTAAATACTTTAAGTATTATTGTGCCTTGCACTCTTTCTGTCTAAGCAACGTCGTAACTCGTTGTTTAAGCAAATCTTGAGATCAACACAACGTTGATTTAGTTAGGCAATTCGTCGAATTATGGTTGAATAGCTCTCTTATTAGAAGAGTTAGAGTTGTGTTATACGAGGAATGGCTGAATGGGCATGAAAAAAGCGCCTAACCAACGCTTTCACACTCGCTGTTTATCGTCGACCCCCTGCAGTTGCCAAGAAACCATGACCGTCTCCATTGACATGCGTTGGCGGTCAGTAGTACTAACATACCTTTACGACATTGATGCATCTGTGGTGGCGTCGGTGATGGGAGTCTCTGCGAGGTCGATTTCTCGTTGGGGTATGCTATTTCGTCGTCGTGGAAACGTAATCCCCAACGCACGAATTGAGCGCAAGACCCGTTGACCTCCAGAGTGCATTAAATTTGTGAACGGCTACGTAGAAGAGCATCCATGCTTCTACATTGAGGAACTGCAATCTACACTCAAGCAAAAGTTTCCTACGCTAAAAAATGTGTCGACAGCGACGATATGTCGTGCGCTTCGATTTGACCTCGGTCTTACTCGCAAAGTATTGACCAAGCGTGCAAGAGAGAGCATTCCTGCTGAAATCGATGCGTACTACAAAAAGCTCACCCCGTTTTACAGCAACCCAGAGCAATTAGTTTTTCTGGATGGAACAGCAAAAGATGGTCGTGATGTGCTACGTCGGTTGCCTGGTCAGCCAGAAACACGCCAGCGATTGTGCGGCAACCATTCGACCGAGGTATGTACTCAGTATTTTGATTTATTCTGTTTTGCTTTTTCCCTCTTCTGATGTTAGCGAAATGTAGGTGACCGCGTGTCCATTTTAGCTGCAATGGACATTTCAGGCTTTATTGCCTGGGAAACTACTCCAGGAACGTTTGACCGGAATCGCTTTCATGCTGCGTTTCGCAAGAATGTAGCACCACTTTTAAATCCGTGGCCGCTACCACGGTACGGCATCCTTCATGGTTTCATTGTTTGTACTTGGCACTAATCATGATTCAGTTCAATTGTCATTCTAGACAACGCCAAAATACACATGTACAAGGAGCTGGAAGACCTCGTACACTCGACAGGAGCGCTTTTACTTTTCTTACCACCTTATTCACCCCAGTTGAATCCGATTGAGGTTGGGTTTGGGCTTCTGAAGCGGTGGCTAACCCGTCACGCACATCTCGCGTTTCGATTTGATGCAAGAAGAACCTTGCAGGTTGCTATGCGTAAATGCATAGAGGAAGGAAAAGAAGAGAGTGGAAATTTGTATGGTCATTGCGGCTATGATAGAGTAGGTCTCAATCGAGAATTTTTCTTTAGGTAAATGCGCAATGCGATGAGCTCTTCTCTAGTTTCTTACTCGCCAGCTTGTTCAACATGATCAGTGTCACTCACGTTCTCAGTAGGACCAATAGCTTCAAGATCGGGGCGAAATGGAGGAAATAGATCGTAGGATGGCATCCCAACAGCTCGACGCAACTCAGCTACGTCTAATTCCAAGTGAATAATACCCCCGTTTAGTCTGCAAGCCACGCGCACAAATTGGTGACTCGGACTCGAGCCATTGCTATCTAATGTAGCGGAAATGTCAGAGTGCATCGCGTCAATTCGTTGTAGTTGCGCAAATGAAGCACTAGTTGGAGGCTCGATAGGGGTGCCCTCGGGCTGACGGGCATGAGAAATAGCCCAGTAGCGCTGTGCAGCAGGCCCGTAAGTGCTACTGCTTCCTTCTCTCTCCAGCACTTCTCTTATTGCAGCCGCCGATGCTTCAACGCGTGCTTCTGTTGCACGGCGAATACCTGGATTCGTAATTCTACGTTGTACGTAAATGTACAACTCAAGCTGAAAGTCGGCTTGCCTAAATCATCGTGTAGTTATGTCATTTTGCATGTCAACAGAATTACGAAGTGTTTCGTACCCATGTTTGCGGCGGGCGGCTTGCTTCCATAAGCGGTCGATGCTGTTAGAAAACTCGTCTTGTGAAGAAGGGAGCGCTACATAGTTTACTTGCGATATGTTTGCTGATGGCTTGATCAAAATGGGAGCATCGGCGTCCCAAGTAACATCTTCAGCTAGCTGGTTGCCGATTCGAGCATATAGAACGGCAAGCCCGTCTGTCGGCATGAACTCAAAAACAATGGGTGCTCCATACGGAGTTCTGCAGTTGGTGTAAGGCTTTCCGACCTTCACAGTGAGAAGCACTTGTAGTTCCTGCGGCATTGGGAGTGACATGGCGACAATGCAGCTGTACAACAACGTTATAATGTGCGTATGTGACTCTCGAAGGGAACGAATATGGCTCTTACCGAGGTACCAAGTGGGGTGTGAGCAGTAAGAGCGCTTTTGCCTTGTTTGGAGGGCCATCCGTTGTTGAGGTTTAGCTTATTTTTAGCATTGAGTTACGAGCATAAGCCAAGCTTATCTCATATGATTTGTCGTTGAGTTACGGGCCTAAATCGCACGCCAAAGTTTGTGCAAGGCACAATACCTGGTACTCTTCATTAATTTATGTTTTTTTAAGGCGGCTGTTGGCGGCCAGAATTATTAATAATGGACTGTACATGATTTCTTCCATGATTAATCCTGGATTCCAATTTCTATCTTAATTCAGTAGTCATATGGGCCGAGGAAATGACAGATACGAATGTGTGGTGGTCGATGATCCAGGATTAATACTGTTCGTGATCATGGGAAAATCATGTATACAGCATCTTTTGTATGTAAAGGTCCAAGAAACGTGTATTAGAGCAAGTACTGCCTATCAACCCTTGAGCTACTGCTGGACTTGAGTGGGAAGTGTTTCCTCGTCGTCGCTGCTCTTGTCTTCAACGCGGGGAGCAGGCACTTTTTCCTCTTCTTCGTCACCTAGCGGGGTTTGTACCAAAAGAAGTTGCCCAGTGAGCAAATAATAGAGGAGTTCAAAGCGACGTTTTGTGAGCGCTTCAATGCTCACTTTCAGGTGGTGTCCTGCTACGACCTGCCCAATGATCATCCAACAGACGTACACACCACAGCTGTGTCCGTCGAACTGGATCGGGCTGCTCATTGGGATCACGTCGTACTCGCTGAGTCCGCTGATCTTCAGAGCGGCCCCCACGTCATTCGCTGCGTTCTTGTACTGTGCTTGGTTAAGAGGATCGTTGTAGAAAATGCGCTTGGACTTCACGTTTACGACCACACATCACCAGTGATAGTTCGAGAAATTCAAAGGGAGCATCACGGTGTCAACTCCATCTTCCTTCACTTGCTGTAAGACACGATCGCGTATCGCCGCGTCAATGCAGCGCTCTTCAGACTTCCGGGCTCTCTTGCGCTTCGTAACTACTGCCTGGAATCCTGCGAAACGACACTCAGAGTAATCGTCGACTAGACGGATGCACAACCCTCTGATCGTAGCGTCGGTTAACCCCGTGGGGGGTGAAGCTCTATAGAGCATAGCGTATGAGAACTCTGGAGCATCCGGGAGACCCTGGATACGCTTGTATGGGTAAGCCGCCATTACTTCATCCGCCCCTTGTTGCGTCAAGGCATGATACTCGGCTGGGAGGGTACGTCCACGAGCCACTTGATCACGCCCAGACCGATCGTTACGAAGTCCTTCAAGTTTTGAACTCTCTTGAAAGTCTCAATCTGTTTCCGCGAGAAATTGCCCACGTCCTTGATAATCACGGTCTCTATGGATTCTTTATCGCTATTTGCGACTGAGTGCTGGCTAGCTTGAGAACCCTCGAGAGCGATTGCAGTATTTTTCGTGTTGGAGACAGGCAGCACCTTTATACACGCGTTGAGGAGCTTGGGTGGAAGTAGATAGAACGGATCCAGACTCAACACAGGGTTTTTCATCAGTTTGACTTTGAGCTTCTTCTTCTCATGCTCTACGTGTTTCACAATAATCCCAGATAGACGTCTTTGAGTTTCGTTAAGTCCAGGTTTTTCTCTGTCTAGTGAATCCACTAGACCAAGCAACGTGACTTCGCCAGCCTGTTGGCGAGCAGCTTCGTTTGACTCATACCACTTCCGGTCTTTCTTCTCACCTGCGGCGGTCTTCTTTTTTGGGTTTGGCGGCATGTCCAACCTTTTTGGCCTTTAAATTCAGACGAATTCGCACCGATGTTGTAGATTTCGTTGAGCAGGTAGAGCTCTGGGCTTCACTCTGCTCGTCCGAGCTGCTATTCTCTTCTTCACTTGTATTCATGTTGAATTTCTTCTTAGCCAAAGCGTCGTAATCTATACCTTCACGTGTGTGATCTTCTTTAGTGACACACGGCGTTTCTCCGTAGGTTTCTAATGGCATTGTAGCCATTTTCCTCTGTCCGATGTTGCGCCACTGAGCCAGAACGAACTTCAACATTTCATCAAACTCCTCTTCGTCTTCAATGTCCGCCATCTCATTGGCAATCAGATGGGTAGCTCTCACTGCTTCTCGGTATCGCTCGGACTGCGTACGCAACTTCTTCCGAGGTGATCCACTCGCGCCCGTCATAATTTTCTCGTACGCGAACTGCTTAACCTTCTTCGGTTGCTGAGAAGAAGTCGTCCATTTAAAACACGGAAGACGTACAGGATTAGTCATGGACGAAACATCTAATATAATCCTGGATATTTCAGGATTTAATCCTGAATAAATCCTGGATCAGATAATAATTAGCTCTCACCTTTCATCGATGCGGTTCCATGGTATGAGAGGCCCGGCAACTCCCTTGAACTTGCGGTACGCTACAGCATGGCGACACAAAAGACTCATGAACACTGCGAGCTCGCAGTGACAACGCCAGGCGTCGACTTGCAATATGTGCTCAGAGAATAGTCCACGGACGAATACTGAGTTGGACTCATCATCACACGGATCGAATTTGTACTTAAACGCTTTCTCCACTCCTTTGGCGTATTGGCCCTCAATATGTCCAGCCACGTAATGGGTCGTAAAGCGTAGCACCGTCCTCATCTCTTCATCGTAATTTGAATTAAAGAGCTGACCTATACGCTCAATTCGGTACTGATACTTGTTCTGTTTGCGGCGATCATATGCCAGCAGAGCTTTGACGTACTGCGCCATCGTCATGGAACCATCAGCTCCATCGTTCAGCTTAGCGAAAAAACCCTTCATCCTGTTGTTCGTATGGTTCTTGAAGTGAGGTAAATGAGCACGCAGATAATACACCCAGCGGTCTTTGCAGGAATCCCAGTTTTTCTAGAAATAAGCGAAAACCCCATTAAATCCAACACGATCACAAATTTCTTCAAACGAACGGTGAGTCGCTGCGTACACCTCTTCATTTCCAGCATAAACCATCTTGTGCACCGCTGAGTCGATTTGGTTCGCATCTTCAGAAGATATCTTACCGAATTCCGGCTTCGAACGCATCTCTTTCAAGTACTTTATCACGTGAAAGTGACAAATCAAGATCCTGGCTTCCGGAAAATTTGTCTCCAGAACGCGAATTTCGTTCAAATCTTTATCCACCAAGATCACGCGGAGCAAGTGGATCTGAGTGGGTGGGAATGTTTAAAGTGCGCAATCGCACGATCCATGTGCCAGTTTCCATTAACTTCAATGAGTGACTGCTGCACGACTGCTCCTTCGCCAAATTCATTCATACCCATGAATGTCAGGAGCTGGTAATTGTTTCTGTCAGTGCACAAAACAAATACAAATTAGAATCCTGGAAAAAATCTGGACATATAACTGGAAAAATCCTGATAAAAATCTAATAAAACATCATGGATATCATCTCAAGAAAAT